CAAGAGCCCCATTTGCCGGCTGGGGTTTGCAACCCCAACCGTTTTCTTTCACAGCTGGGATTTGCGTGCCCTTTGCCACAGAGGCACAGAGCGCAGTTGTGCAAAAAGATTTCACGGGCACCAACAGGGTTCAAGGGGCGACCCATTCCCTATTTAATGCATGAGGTGCCTGCCCCTCACTGCAGAAAAAGTGGGGTCTATGGGGAACCCTTCCATCTGCACATCTGCAGCACTGGGAGCAGGGAGATGAAGAGACAGAAGAAGCAGCCAAAACTATCGCCCCCCAAAGCTGAAAACAATGCTGGAGAGAGAAGGAGGTTGGATCCTGATTGCCACGTCACCCACAAAGGCTTGAGGCTCTTCTCAGAACTACATTTCCCAGGGGGAATGCACCAGCAGGATCCCCCCTGAGGGATGACACGTGCACCCTGAAACTACATTTTCTCCTCGACAGAAAATCACAGAGCTCAAGGCTCCTGGCAGAACGCCCTGTTGCTCCATCCACAGCCCGCAGAGCCTTCAAGATGTTCCAGTGCCACCTGCAAGCGCAAGGACTTGGGAGAGAGTGGGCAAGGCACAGAGGCTGGCCTCACCTGGGAGGAGGCGGGCCTGGACCTAGTCACCAGGTGAGGAGGCGGCAAGCAGGGCGTCCAAGGCAACAGCGAAGCCACAAGCCCATTTCCTAGACTGTCACTGAGTGGGGAACTCTCAAGCAAGTGCTGGTTTTGGAGAGCCCAAGAGGGAGCTCTCATCCCTGAGCAGCAGAGCCCCCTGTACCAGGGCAGTCTACCCCTGGGATGTGGACCAGCAAGAGGGTTGGGGAGAATTGAGGGCACGTCCTCCTGGCCTGGCGCCTCTTGGCTGACTCCTGCTTTTCACCCCATCCCTGGCCTCTGGGGATCGGTGAGGCCATCTGCCCGTGCAAGCCAGACTTGGGACCTCTGCCAGCCTTTGTTGCTCTGACATCTCAGCCTGCCTGGAGCCTGAAAGCAGCTGTTCGCAAAGGAAGAGGTGGCAGGAAAGAGAGAGAGAGAGACAGAGAGAGAGAGAAGGCCAGGCCATCTGAAAAAATCATCTGATGGGCCCCAGAGAGGGGAACCCGAGACGGCGCCTTCACTTCCGCCTCTGCTCCGCCTGCTGCAGCCGGCGGGTGAGGTCATCGATCCGGACGTTCTTCAGGTGCAAGAGATGCTCCAAGCGGCGGACCTTCATCTGAAGGATCTGGACCAGGGAAGAGACACAGAAGGGTAGGTTTCGAAGGGTCTCCTAAGTAGCCCCAGCAGCTCCTGGTGGAGAGGAAAGAGACCCAGGGCCCTGAGGCAGCCACAATCGGCATCCTGTGGCAGGGAGTTCCTCGGGTGGTGCGTGTGGCTAACAGCCTCAGACACGTCTGTCCAGACTAACCCTGCCCACCTGTAGAAACAGGCAGAAGGGGCGCTGTTGCAAGTGCCACATAATGCCCATTCTGCTGCAATAGGAACTGGGATCTTTGAGTCTGTTGGCACCTGACACTTCAGGTCCCTTCCAACTGCGTGGCTCTGTGAGGCTGAGGAAGGGCAGGGCAGGGCTAAAGTTCAGGTGGGGAAGATGAACTTCCCCTCATCACCTCTCTCACCTGCACCATCTCCTGCGAGGCCAGAAGGGCTTGTTCCCTCTCTGCTAAGTGGAGTCGGAGGTTGGCATCCGTTTGCAGAGGCACCGTGTAGCTCTGATGTCCTTTGGGCCCCCTGGAGACAAGGAAAAGTTCTGGAGATCACAGTGGTGCAAAAACCTGGGGTTCCTACCCAAAACGCACACACACACACACACACACACACACACACACACACACTTGACCTTAAGAGCAGCCAGGTACTTTACCAGGTCAAAGCAAAAGCCCAGATTTGGTGCAGGACTTCAGCTAGCCTGCCACTAATCCTGGTGGCTCCATTTAGCTATCCCAGTTCGCAGCAGAGCTCGCCAACGTGGCGCCCCTAGATGCGGGTGAACTACGACCTCCCCACTCCTCGTCCCTGGCGGGCTGGCTGCCAGCGCTGATGAGTGCTGCGAGTCCAGCAATATCAGTGTGGACTAGTGGTTAGAGTGCCTGGCTTTGGGGACCTGGGAGGCCGGGGTTTGAATCCCCACTCAGCTCGCTGTGGCCGTTCGCCACCTCTCAGCCTACCTCACAGGGCTGTTTGTGGGGATAAGATGGGGAGGGGGCGGGTAGGAGTTGAGCGGTGGTCAAATATGCCTGGAGGGCGCTATGTTGGGGAAGCCGGGCAAAGGACACAGACAGGGCGGCACTGAGGCTGCCGCGGGGCTCAGGTGAAAGAAAGAACCAAGAGGATTTCCACCAGGTTGGGCAGCTCCTTAAACTATGGAACTCCCTGCCACAAGAGGCAGTTATGGCAGGGTAATAATAATAATAATAATAATAATAATAATAATAATAATATTTGCTTGCAGCTGTACTGCCAGCCCTGACAAGACAGGGTTTCCCTAACTGCCAGTAATTCTTTTCTTTTATTTTAATTACCTTTCCAACCCAGGAGAGTCCTGGGTACTGTTGGGTTTGGGCTTTGAAGTGAAGCCTGTAAAATGTGAAACAGAGACTGTAATGAGAGGCATGTAGGACCTCCAAAATCCCCACCCCGCAATGAAACCAGAATTCAACAGAGACTGTATTTATAGCTATCTATACCTTTATATGACTTTTTAAAAAAATTTAAAAAATCCCATGAGAATTTATTATTTATTGATGCATCTTATTAGGGAAGGTCCACAGCTCAGTGACAGAACATCTGCTTTGAATGCACAATGTCCTGGGTTCAGTCCCCGGTGGCCTTTCTGGGCAGGGCTGAGAGAGACTCCTGCGTGAAATCCTGGAGATCTGCTACCAGTCAGTGTTGACAATATTGCGATGGATGGTGTCAGGGTTCGGAGAAGCGGCTTATTCCCTCCCTTTGGCCGTGCATAAGCAGAACAAAGCAAAAATAGTCTCTTACCATTTAAAGAGATTCTAATGATCACAGCGAAAGAGCAAAGAGTTCGTTCTCGGAGTAAAGGTGCTCCCAGTTAAGGTTTACACCCACTTCTCCCCCAGAGTCACTTCCTCATCTTGCAACCTGATCTCGCATCCACCGTGCCTTCTGTGCAGCCACCTTATCTAATCTCCTTGACCTTTGTCAGCTGTGCGTGCAGGAGCCCTGTGACCAATAGGACTTTGCAGGACTGGGGCCTTCCTAAGTTTGTTCTGGAGAGGTAAGGCGCGGCCGCACAGGTGAGGCCAATTGGTAACTCACAGCACCAGGTGGCAAGAGCCAGGAAGGGATATAAGGTCAGCATTTCCCTTCGGCTCTTTGCCACAGCAACACGTCCCCTGCCTTGCTGCGTTTGACTCCTTGTTTCTTGATCCTCGGACCCTTGACTTTGTGACTCCTGGCTTCTTGATCCTCGGACCCCTGGCTTCGTGACTCCTTGCTTCTCCTTGCCGGAAATGGCATCTGCGCATACGTAGATACCGGAAATCGCATCTGCGCATGTCCAGACGCCGGAAATCGCTTCTATGCAGGTGTGATTTTTGGCATCTGGGCATGCGCAGAAGCAATTTTCGGTGCCACAGACATGCGCAGATGCAATTTCCAACATCGCGCTGCGCCAGTCCGGCCCATGGACTATCTCCGTGGGAGTGATCCAGCCCATGGCAGGTAAACCTTGCCAACCCCTGGCTTACACTGACTGGCGACTGGAAGAAATTTAAAGATTATTTACAGAAATATTGTAAAATTAAGGAATTTTAGAAGGATGTTGGATAGAAATTAAGTGGTTTCCAGCTGTAATGCTTTAAGAGATACGAAAAAAGGCTTACAAATGGGTAAAAGCTTAATGGTAAGGATTTGCTGAACTAACAAATTGAACTGGAATACAAAAAAGGGAGGTACAAGGAGGTCCGGGGAAATAAGTGCAAGGAAGATAGGTTATGGAAAATTAACGTGTTTTTAACTGTTTTATTTTGTATGTTTCTTTCTATTTTTTAATTTTTTGTTATATCTTAAAAACTTTATACTTTTTTTTCTGTATTCTGTATTTTCCGGTATTTTTTGAAATTATTGATTATTGATTATTGATTATTGATTATTAATGATATTAATAAATATCATTTTTTTAAAAAACAATATTGCGATGGATGGTGTCAGGGTTCGGAGAAGCGGCTTATTCCCTCCCTTTGGCCGTGCATAAGCAGAACAAAGCAAAAATAGTCTCTTACCATTTAAAGAGATTCTAATGATCACAGCGAAAAGAGCAAAGAGTTCGTTCTCGGAGTAAAGGTGCTCCCAGTTAAGGTTTACACCCACTTCTCCCCAGAGTCACTTCCTCATCTTGCAACCTGATCTCGCATCCACCGTGCCTTCTGTGCAGCCACCTTATCTAATCTCCTTGACCTTTGTCAGCTGTGCGTGCAGGAGCCCTGTAGACCAATAGGACTTTGCAGGACTGGGGCCTTCCTAAGTTTGTTCTGGAGAGGAAGGCGCGGCCGCACAGGTGAGGCCAATTGGTAACTCACAGCACCAGGTGGCAAGAGCCAGGAAGGGGTGTAAGGTCAGCATTTCCTTCGGCTCTTTGCCACAGCAACACGTCCCCTGCCTTGCTGCGTTTGACTCCTTGTTTCTTGATCCTCGGACCCTTGACTTTGTGACTCCTGGCTTCTTGATCCTCGGACCCCTGACTTCGTGACTCCTTGCTTCTCCTTGCCGGAAATGGCGTCTGCGCATACGTAGATACTGGAAATCGCATCTGCGCATGTCCAGACGCCGGAAATCGCTTCTATGCAGGTGTGATTTTTGGCATCTGGGCATGCACAGAAGCAATTTTCGGTGCCACAGACATGCGCAGATGCAATTTCCAACATCGCGCTGCGCCAGTCCGGCCCATGGACTATCTCCGTGGGAGTGATCCAGCCCATGGCAGGTAAACCTTGCCAACCCCTGGCTTACACTGACTGGCAGCAAGTCTCCAGGGCTTAGGACTGGGGTACCTCACTTGGTAGAGCTGGAGACTCTTAACCGCAGGGTTGTGGGTTCGAGCCCCACGTTGGGCAAAAGATTCCTGCATTGGACTGGATGAACCTCATGGTCCCTTCCAACTATAGTTGTTGTTGTTGTTGTTGTTGTTAAAATGTGTATACCGCCTGTCAGGGAACTGCCATCGGAAGGAAGGGAGGTGAAAGGGCTCACACAGGTTGGGAGAGACTCAGCAGCTGAAGAGGGAACCAGTAGGGGGAGAGGAGCTGAGCTGAGGGAAAGTGAGCTGGAGGGATGGCTCAGAGACACTTCCAGCGAAAACAGTGGGGAGGTTTCAGGACCTCCTGTAGGGACACCCACTCCTCGCCGGAAACTGACACGCAGAGAGTCCAGAAGACGTGTTTCCGTTAAGGAGCTTTTATGTTGGAAGCGATTCGAAAGCAACCACTGTCGGAATCTGCTAGTGACTAGAGGAGCCATGTCTGAGGGGCTCCACACAGACAGAGGTTTGTGGACTTGAACAAACTCTGAGGGGATACGATTTTACGCACAAGCAGCTCATCATCCCATCACAGCATTCCGACAGTCTTTGAAAGCAGCTTGTGCAGGAGAAGGCATCATGAGCAACCCAGCCGGAACCGGAGAAGCAGGAGCTGGAGCGGGTCCAAGCCTGGAAGAAAGGTACCGGGTGTTGGAGGTCCAGCTAGCGATGCAGACGGCGAGGCTTGGAGGAGAGGAGGGCTCAGGATGCAGACAAAAGGGGAAAGCCACCCAGCTCGCCAGAAAGGTACCAGGATTGGTGCAGAAGTTTGGGGGGGAGCCCAAAGACTATCATGGCTTTCGGACAGAGATGCAATATGCCCTCAATCTGCAGTTTGATGAATTCCTGACGAGGAATCACGAGTGGCTTTCGTGATTGAGCATCTTGAAAAGGGGGCGAGAGACTGGGTTAGACCCCTGATGGCAGCGAATAGTGACGTCCTAAAGGACACGATGAAGTTCTTTCGCGCCATGGATCTGATGTTTTCCAGCGATATTGAACAGGGAGTGGTGCGCAGACAGTTAATGGCTTGCAAACAGGGGAGCCGATCTGTCCGTGAGTACTGGACTGAGTTCACCATGCTGGTTCACAGATTGGGGTGGGACTTATCGGCGGAACCCATTCAAATGCTCTTTGAAGAAGGGCTTTCTTCGGCTGTGAAAGACGAACTTTCCCGGGCGCCCAGGGCGGAGTCTATGGACCAGCTGACCAAATCAGCGCTGACCATAGGAGCGCGCCAGGAGGCGAGAGCATTGGAGAGGCGGGAAGGGAAAGGGGAACGTTGGAAGGAGTTCCGCATTCCAGACATTCCAGAGCCAACTTTCCCGCCGGCAGAGCCGATGGAAATCGGAACAGCAGCGCGCGCCCAGCTGCAAAGCCCAGTGAGGGGGGAAAGAAGGAGGGAAAAGGCGCCCGGAAATGCTATCTCTGCCAACAGCCAGGTCACTTTGCCAGAGTCTGCCCCCAGAGGAAGGAATGGCAAGGGATGGTAGGAGCTGTGGAGGGAAGAGAGGAAGAAATACCGGAGCAAGTAAAGCCAACGCCTGGCTGCCACTGTCGGGGCACAGCAGCCAGGCCAAAGAGCAGTGAGAGTGCCCACGCCAGAACCTCCTAAACCCGCCCTAGTGATAGAAGTGACGCTAGAGCTGCCAAACGGACACCCTCTAAAGATAAAGGCGCTGTTGGACTCAGGCAGCTCCTGCAATTTCATGAGCAAAGAGTTTGCAGCTGAACACCAGATACAGACGATCCCTTTAAGCAACCCCTGCAGGTGACCACGATCGATGGCAGGGAGCTGTTGGGAGGAGAAGTCAGCTTGCAGACCGTCCCAATGATAATGAAGGTAGCAAGGCACACCGAACTGATAGCGTTTAATGTGGCCACCTTGGGAGGAGCTCCCATTATATTGGGGATGAGCTGGCTAGCGTTACATGATCCGCTGGTGGGCTGGCATCAGAGAGTGGTTTCTTTTGGTTCAGCACATTGCTTAGAACACTGCAAAGAGGGAAAGGGTTTGGCAGGGGCCCAAGCCACCCTAGCAGGGACTGAAGTAACGGAGAACGTGAAGGTACCACGACAATATGCAGATCTCCGTGACGTCTTCAGCGAAAGGGAAGCTGACCAACTACCCCCGCATAGACCCTTTGACTGTCAAATCAATTTACTCCCTGGGGCACAGCTCCCTGTAGGCAAGCTGTACGCCATGTCAGACAGAGAGATGCAGGAGCTAAGAGAGTTCATTGACAAGAACCTGAAGAGAGGGTTCATCAGAGAGTCCAGGGCGGTGGGGGCAGCCCAGTGTTTTTTGTGGATAAAAACACGAACAAGCCGAGGCTGGTGTGTGACTTCAGGGCCTTAAATGCAGTGTCAGAACCAGTGGCCTTCCCTATGCCCAGGATTGACGACATTTTGACAAGGGTGCGGAAGGGAAAGATTTTCACAAAGCTGGACCTAAGGGGGGCGTACAACCTGATACGAATAAGGAAGGGGGATGAATGGAAAACCACCATGTTCACTCCCTTTAGGGGCATTTGAATATTTGGTTATGCCCTTCGGCCTCCAAGCAGGCTCCGCATGCTTTCAATCGTTTATGAACCACGTCCTGGGGCCTTTGCTTTACAAGAATTGTGTGGCCTTCTTAGACGACGTGTTGGTGTATTCTGAGAATGAGGAGCAGCATGTGAGAGACGTCAGAGAAGTGTTGAGCAGGCTGCAAGCCAACCAGCTGTGGGTGAAACTGGAGAAGTGTCAGTTTCATACCAAGGAGGTGGAATTCCTGGGGTATCGCCTGTCAGACAAGGGATTGGCCATGGATCCCGGCAAGGTCCAGGCGGTGCTGGAATGGAAAACACCCAAAACAAGGAAGGATGTGCAGAGGTTCCTAGGATTTGGGAACTTCTATCGTAAGTTCATCCGAAACTTTGCCCACCTGACGGCGCCCATTACGGACTGTCTCAGCAGTAAGACGAAGTTCGTTTGGACGGAGGAGGCGGAGCGAGGCTTTGAGGAACTGACAAGGGGCTTCGCCTCGGAACAACACCTCCTGCATGTGGATTTACAAAACCGATGAGAGTGGAAACTGACGCATCAGACAGAGCGATTGGGGCGGTGCTTCTGCAGCCAGGGAAGGAGGAGTCAGAGTGGAGACCGTGTGCCTTTTTTTCGCGAAAGCTGAACAAATCCGAGAGGAACTACACGGTGTATGACCGAGAACTACTAGCCATTCATGAGGCGTTCCGGAGATGGAGGCACCTGCTAATTGGCGCACAACATAAGGTGCAAGTGTGCACTGACCACAAGAACCTAGAGTATTGGAGGACGGCACGAGTGCTCAACCAACGGCAAGTGAGATGGGCCCAGGAGTTCTCCAAATTTAACTTTGAGATTTGTTACGTGCCAGGCCCAGAGAACATTAGGGCGGACGCTCTCTCACGCAAACCTGAATATTTGGAGGGGGAGGGAGCACCCGAAGAGAGACATGTCATTCCAGAGGACCGCTGGGTGTGTGGGGCGGCATTGGTGGGACAAAGAGAACTGGTAGAGGAAACAGAGAATGATGAATACGCCCAGAATAAGCTCAGAGGTCTTAGGGGTGAGGGAGAGGAACCAGGGGGTTTCGAGGAAAGAAATGGAGCTTTGTATTACAAAGGGGCACTGTATATCCCTGAAGGAGACTTAAGGGGGAGGGTACTCAAGCAGTTGCACGACAGCCCTACGGCGGGGCATTTTGGACAACACAAACCATGTGGTTGGTCACCAGGGAATTTTGGTGGCCCAAGGTGAGGGAAGATGTACGTGAGTATGTAAGAGGGTGCGAGCAATGCCAGCGAGCCAAAGGGGAAAGGCGGGCGCCGGCGGGGCTATTAGAACCCTTACCAACCCCAGAACGACCTTGGGAGGCAGTGTCGATAGATTTTATGACTGATCTGCCGAAGTCCAAAGGGAAAACAGCCATCATGGTGGTGGTGGACCTACTAACAAAGATGTGCCACTTTGTAGCTTGCTCGCATGCAGTCACGGCGGAAGAGACAGCGAAGTTATTTGTAGAACACATTTTTAGGTTGCACGGGGTGCCATTGAGGGTGGTCTCAGACCGAGGAAAACAATTTACTTCCAGGTTCTGGAGGAAGCTCATGAGCTTACTGCAGGTGGAGGTCAATTTTTCGACTGCCCGGCACCCTGAAACCAACGGGCAGGCGGAAAGAGCAAACGGTGTCCTCCAGCAATACCTGAGGTGTTATGTCAATGACAGAGAGAATGACTGGGTAGAAAAGTTGGCGCTGGCGGAATTTGCCTACAACAATGCCGAGAATGTGTCCACAGGGATGAGCCCTTCTTGGCTAATTATGGGTGTCATCCCAGGGCTTTCCCAGGGGGAGATGGGGAGAGATGGAGCGTCCCGGCAGCCGAGCATTTTGTAGAAGAAATGGAAGCAATCCATTGTCAGCTCCAACTCAACTTAGAAAGGGCGAAGGAAGAATACAAGAGGCAAGCAGACAAGAACCGAAGGGAAGGTGAAACCATAAGGGTGGGAGATAGGGTGTGGCTGTCAACCCAAGGGCTGCCGTTCAAAGGAGGTTGTAAGAAATTAAGACCCAGGAGGTTGGGTCCCTTTGAGGTCATTCAACAGGTCAACCCAGTGGCTTTCAGGCTCCGGTTACCCAACCACATGAAACTGCACCCAGTATTTCACAGGTCGTTACTGTCACCGTACGAAGGGGGACGAGAAGGGATGGCCACTGGGACCGGTCATAGAAGAAAGAGAATGCAGCAGCCATGTGGCAGAAATCCTCGACGCCAGGTGGAAGGGGAATCAGGTGGAGTATTTGGTAGCGTGGGAAGGAGAACCGGAGTCAGAAAACACTTGGGTAATGGCCGAAGATATCAATGACGAGGTATTGATAGAAACGTTCCATCAAAGGTTCCCAAGGAAACCTCAGCCTGTGGAGAGGTTCCGGAGGGAATACTTTGGGACCACTGATGAGGAGGAGGAGTTGGAAGGCTTCCCGGACTCGGAAGGGGAAGGGGAGATGGACT